TGACGTACTTAATTATTGATGTATTGAAAAATTTTCTGCTTATTACTTTTGTAACTTATTTTGTTCATAAAATTTAATTTTTATATTACATTAGTTAAGGATAAATTTATATTACATTATTACCAATAAGAATTTTAAGAATATATAAATTTTATGGTAATACTCAAATCAATATACAAAATCTTGTTTAAAGGAAATAATGAAAAAATAGAAAAATGTATAAAACAAAGTTTATTTACATTGCTGTTAAATTTTGTATATAAAATACATGTGAATTTCATCTGAATAACGATCGAAGTCACAAAGCTGAAACCATAGGATCTTGCTTTTACCCAACAACCCTAGTATAGCTGCGTATTTTAGAAACGAGGGTGCTTTCAACGCGGTAGGGATGTGCCGAAACTCATTTGAGAAATAAACTTTCAGACAGTCTCACAATTTATATATATATGCATATTATTATATACTTTTTTTCCGGTCATACTTCTTAGTTTCTAACTTTTCCTTTATATATACTATTGTTTATTAGACTTCTCAGAAAGTTTTAAATTTTTTTTCGCAAATTAACGTAACTTATTTAATATCACATGACATATATTGATTTAAAAATTCATAAAACTACACTAATTTACTAAATATTTCGTAGGCACATAAAAACGTCAACGAATTTCTTTATTAAGTAATATAAAACATTCAAATAATACCCACAAAAATGTTAATTTTTTTATGTCAATAAAAATATATAAAGTTTATAATCAAATGTTATTTTTTGTAATACGTGTACAGAGAAAATAGTCAACGGTGAAGTTGTAGTACAATTCAATTGTTTATAACATTTTTTTGACAATTTGATACAAGGTGACAGCTGTCATTTAAAAATGTATCTCGACCCAATATTGGATCATTAAGAAACGCTGCTAAACTTATGTAAGTATATATGCATTTTATTGAGTTGGCAACAAAGTTATTGCCGATTTTCAAATCAAATTAAACATATTTTTTTTATATAATTATTAAACTTTATTCAATAATATATTTTCCATTTTTATTAATAATCTTTTGCCATCTTTCCGTCAACTTCATTATCCCACGCTCATAAAACTTGTGGTCATTATCAACTAGTGATAATTTTTGATGTGTGTGGTCTACCGTTATCATGGTGTAATACAACACGTTTCCGATTCACCAACTCTGTCCGATTTTTTGATGATTTTCAATTGTTGTTTACGATATACATTTAAGATTTCTGCAATCTCTCTGACAGGCTTTGATTTGATTTAGCCTACCAAATCGCAGTTCATCTTTGAGTGAAAAATCACCAGAACGGAATTTATCAAACCAATTCCGGCACTGTCTTTCTTTTAGAGCTTCATCACCATACACATCGCTTAACTTTTTAGGAGCTCGTGTTTTGTTGTTTGCTTTTTGAAAATAATGAAGCAAAATATGACAAAAATGAACGCTTTTGTTCTCAATGTTAAAATTGAAACCACACAAACAAATATCACAAAAAAAACTTAGTGTTTAAAAAGCTAAAGTTCACAGATGACAAATGCCAAAACTTGTAATATTGACAGAAATCATTTAAAAGAAACACTACTACCATCCAAATTTGTTGCCAACCCAATATACATGAGAAGATATGTTTTGTGTAAAGTTATATTTATTCATTTAGAACTAAGATTATAATTAAATACAAATAAGATAAAAAAAAATAAGTGATTACTTTTACGCATTCACATTTTTTACTTGTTGAAACAATTCAGAAAATTATGTTTAATTTGTTTGTTTGATGAAAATATATAATAAGGAATTTTTAATTACATTTGAGATTTGTCGTCATTTCTCATAAGAAAGATGTAATGTAATTATATATTTAGGGCAGAAAGACTTCGGTCTTAAATGCTTTGACCCAAATTAAATTTATTATATATATATTAAATAATAATAATAATATATATACCATATTTCTTCAAATATAAGAGGCACCCGTTTCGAAAAAAAGTTGATTAAATATTGGGTACGTCTTATGTATTAGAGTAGATTTTTTACTTTTCGTGCCACAAAAATTAAGATGTGTCTTATACTTGAGGAATTACAGGATATAATTCAATTATTCACAAACATTACAAAGGGATATTAACTATAGAACTTTCCGCTCAGTAATATTATATTAATTTTTAAAAAATATAATTTCTCTTCAATATTTCAATATTTTTATTTTAATTAATTACTATTTAAAGGGCAGAATGACCTTTGGAGCAGTTTAATTTAATTTTTGTTATTATATTATCATATTTAGTTTGGTAATTTTTATATGCAATAAATTATTTAAATAATAATCAGTTCATTCATAAATTTTTCAACGATTATGATTTCATTTTTCTTGTGATATTAATGCTACTTAAATGTTACTTATTGGAAACACTGAGTAAATAAAAATGTATACAAAGGAAATAAATGTTAATTTATTAGTCGAAATATATAAATTACAAAATAACAATGAAAGTAGACTTTTGTTCATAGTAAAATTAATTACCATTAAAGTAATAATAAATAAATTTGTAACATTTTCTTAAAAAAAATCATTTTTATTGTAATTTAAGAACGTGACAATAAGCATAAAATTACTTAATAAATTTTTGTTTTTTTTAATCATTAATTTAAATTGATAGATTCAAATATATTATTTTTTGTTTTATGAGTTACTTACTATAAACCATTCATTAGAAAATAGGTATGATTTAATAATATATTTAGACCAAAAGTCTTTCGATTGTAATAATTTTGTAATAACAAAACAATTTTGTAATTGTAAATTGTTCTGATGTATTGATTTTTCATTACTTCCTAACAATTTATTTAATTATTCAGTCATTGTTGTATTATATTATATTAAATTAATAAATTAAGTGGTTTCATTAATATAATTTTTTCTAAAATATAAGACAATCACAAATTCAATTTGATTGTAAATTAATAAAGAGAGGATAAAAAAAAAATACTTGTAAGATTTCAAACAAATTTTATTTTTAAACCACTGATACAAAGTATAATAAATTTAATTGATGACATATATAAGAATAAATAAATATAATAAAGACAAATGCAATTTAAAATTATTGTAATATATTCATTTTTCATTAATTACATTCCAAGATTTAATTAAAATTTATAAATTAAGTGATTTCATTCATTTAACTTATTTAAAGACGAAGTTATATGGATGAATTTACTCACAATTTTTTATTAATGTAAATTAATAAGAAAATAAAAGACTTACAAGATTAAAAATAAATATAATTTTTTATTGAAACTACTGAAATAAATATGATTAATTTAAATTAATAGATTGAAATATTTAACAATCAATAAATATAACAAAAACAAATATATTTTGGTAATATGTTTATTTTTCATTAATCTAATGATGAATAAATTAAAGTGCTTTTTTAAATATAAGACACTCACAATTTCAATTTTATTGTAAATTAATAAATCAATAAGAAAATAAAACACATGTAACATTACAAAAAAAATGTTACTTTTTTAAACCACTTATACAAAGTATAATAAATGTAATTTATATATTGAAATAAGTAATAAACTAATAAATATAACAATGACAAGTAAATGTTTGTAAAATATTTATTTTTCATTGCCAAGATAAATAAACTAAGTGATTTCATTCGTATAACATTTTCTATTATTATATAATATCATTTATTGAAACAAATCATACTAAAAAAACATAATATAACAAGAAAATAATAACGTGAGGATAGGAAAAAAAACACTCATATAACTTATTTTAAGAAAAAGTGATATGGATGGAATCACTTACAATTTCATTTTTATTGTAAATTAATGACGTGAGAATAAGAAAATAAAACACTTGGGACAGAAAGACCTATGGTCAATAGCCCTTTGTATTGATATATTGAAATATGTAATAAACTAATAAAGACAAATAAATAATTTTAATATATTTATTTTTCATTAATTTCATGCCAAAATTATATTACAATTAAAAAATTGATTTTATTAGTATAACTTTTTCTTATAAAGCACTCACGATTTTATTTTCATTGTATATTAATAAAGCAAGAATAATAAAACACTTGTAACATTACAAAAAAAAATGATACTTTTTCAAACCACTTATACAAATTATGATACATTTAATTGATATATTGAAATATAAAATAATCTAATAAAGATAATAAAGACAAATAAATGTTTGTAATATATTTATTTTTCATTGATTCCATGCCAAGATTATATTAAATTAAGTAATTCGTATAACTTTTTCTAATATATAAGGCACTCACAATTTCATTTTCATTGTAAATTAATAAGGTGAGAATGGGAAAATAAAGCACTTATAAAATAACAAACAAATGTTACTTCTTGTAATCACTGAACAAAGTATGATTAAATTAATTGATAGATTGAAACATATAGAAGAATGAATTTTCGTTTGATGTGCTGGCTTTTCGCTATACATTATGTATATGGGTATGTATACACGCGTTTCGTATGCGTGTATATATGGTGTAGTGTTATATTTATGTATTTTCTCTTTTTTTTGTGTCGTATTATTTTTGCTGTGTGCGTTGGGGCGCGTCGTGGCGCCGCACCCGCAGAGCAGCACCGGCAACGCGTCCCGACGCCGCGGACGCCGTCGGATGCGCAACGACGTTTGATCGGGCCGGGCGTGCGGAGACGCGGATACTTTTCCCGCTTGACGCATTGCAGGTGCGCTCCGACCAATCGGAAGACGCCGTCAGCGCGCGGTTACCGTTGTAAACAAGCCGCACCCGGCTTGCCGCAACTTCACGTCGTAGCGCCGCGCCAAGTAGTACCAGAGCATTGAGGAAGACGCGCGCCGCCCCGGCATCGGCGCCCCACGACCCATAAGCCGCGTCGCATCGCGACCCCTGCCGAATCGAATTTCCCGGGGCGGCGAAGCCCCGACCGACGACGACGTCGGCGTATGAATTTTACTCGTTTATGTCATAGTGGCTGCATCAAAGCGGGCCTAGGACGAGCGCAGACCAGCAAAACTCGACATAGGAAACGCCGACCGCACGATAATCCCCCCCCCGCGCCCCTCCTGTCACCGCTACGCGAACCCATCGCCGGCACTGCGCCGTCGCTTCCCCCACCATCGCTCCGAACATCCGTCCGACAACATAACAAAACCCCACACAGTTGCACACAGTTGGCTACAAGTCTCGTACGCGTCACGTTGCGTTGGCATCAACCCTATTTTATAATATACCTCTATATATCTATATATTTGGTGAATTGGATAAGTGTATTTTTAAATCCTAATTAATCGACATGGTGAGCATACTTTTCGTATTATTTCCGGCGCCCCCACATCGTCTGTCCACCCGGTGATCGCGCTCCATCCGTATTTTCCCGAAAATCCCATTCCAACATTAGACATATAACTGTCAAAAACCGAGACAGGACGGACACAACCTTGGACCAGAACAACCGGCTCCACCGAAAATACGAACACGGCGCGTTCTAGCAAAAAAAAAAGACGATGAAGAGAGAAAGAAGAATCCGCAATGCCGTTGCCAACTATATTGATCCTGTTGCTCTATGGCCCCCTGTCAAAAAAGAGGATCGCGACTTCAACCCTTCATCAACGTGTATCAACCCCAATTACTAAATATTTTATAAATTAAACACGCGCTCTCTCAGGAATAACCACGAAACGTTATTTATATCTCCCAACTCGTAAAAAAACACACACAAGACACAAAAGAAAGCCGCCTTTCTAAAATACTTCTCTCCCAGACACACATCGCAACCGACCAAATATCAAATTCCCCCAGACCCAAACGTTCAAAAAATCACATATCATATACATTCTAATTGGATTTACTAAAAATCAATACGTGTCAGGATCGATAACGTCCGCAAAAATCATATCCGCAACAAGAATTCCTATATGATATATTCGGCTTCTTCGTATTTGCCTGCATCATCGTATAAATAATGGCAGTTGATGAAATGCCGTTTCGCGAATAACAATGTATATGCATTTGTTTGTTGGCATCCGTGGCCAGCTTTCGCACCGGTGGTCGGATGCGGTGGACCGCGCCCCAACGGCGACGACGACGGATTCCAATTGGAATTTGTTTCCTTTTGCTAATCATGATTTTTGCATCACCAGGCTGACCAACTGACCGAAGAGCAGATCGCGGAATTCAAGGAGGCGTTTTCGCTGTTCGACAAGGACGGCGATGGCACCATCACCACCAAAGAGTTGGGAACCGTGATGAGGTCTTTGGGACAGAACCCCACGGAAGCCGAGCTCCAGGATATGATCAACGAGGTGGACGCCGACGGTAAATATTGCATTTCGATCATCATAGGTTAGACGTACCGTAGCTCTTCGACATCCGTCAGATTGCGACACACACGTTCACGCCCCCCACCAGGACCCCTCCTTTTTTTCTGCGATTTTACCGCAACCTCGCCCTTAATATACAAAGGGGGTGAGACACCCCGTCATGTCGTTTCCTCTTCTTCTTTTTACTACTTCTGAATATTAATGCAGATGTTTAACAGCAATTTCATTGTTTATTTTTAGTCAATACTATCAAGTTGAATTCTTCCAAATATTTAATACCCTTTTGGTACTTTCACATTATACAAATATAACATTAGGCAGTATACAAATGAAGAACTACGCCCCTTCCAACTATTATGGTTTTATTTCCAATAAAACAATAGACAAACATTTACAATATATGTGAAATCAGAGTGCACATCTAAATTGTTTAATATTATAAAATTGATTTATTCCAATTACTTAAAACAATATTTATTGAAAATCCAAATACTTGTATTACAATAATAGACCGCCCACTTATTTATTTGAGTTCATTGTATTTAGAATTGGAAAGTAAATGCATTGACGATACGTAAATCATCGAATCAAATGAATAAACACTTTTGTTAGTAATAAATAATAAAGTAATATTAGATATTTTACATTACAAAAGGAATAATATAATTTTAATTTACTGAAATATGAACAATTACAACAAAATAATGGAAGTTCTGTATAATAATATTTTGTAATGTTTATTTACTACTTGTCTTTATAATTTGTCAGTGACGTTGTTTCAATATTATAAAAAGATTACAAATAATACAACATCGTACAAATGTTTGTTTGACCATACTTAAATTTGAATATGTTTTCTGTGTATATTATTCATGCAAATTATTATTCAGTGCATCTGATCTCTGTTTTATAAATGATTATTTACACATGTTCAATTCAGAAGCTGTAAACAAATAATACTGAAAATTTGATTTGTTTTTTTAATTTTTTTTAATGATGGTTTGTGAATATGTGAATAACAAATGATTATAGTTTATTGACAACAAATTGAAAGTCTAACAAACATGCAATTTGGAGGGCATTGCAAATTTATTTGGCAAAACACAAATTAGTCTTAATTCCATAATTATTTTAATTTCTTTAACAAAGAACTTATATTGTTAGATTTTACTTTTGTATTTTTGCATATTTTAGTATTAAAAATAATATGCAATTCATTTTTTTTTTTGCGAAATTTACCAAGCAAAACGTATGAAATGCAAAATTTAAATACATGCGTAAAATTTAAGTTCGTATATTTTTAGACGTCGAATTCCAAATTTAATTAAATTTGTCACGTTTCTTCACTAAGAATGCTCTTCACCACTGTCCACATTTCCAACTACAAATAAACAGATTTCCAAATCGACATTCCACATTAACATACAATTGCCTTCAACCAAGTTTATTTGATTATATTCGTAATTCCGCTTGTTCATAAATAAAGAAAATAATTGGAGGTTGCGCGAACTTCTCGTGCGGATAATTGATTTGAATGAAACCAAAAAACATCAATTAAACTTTCAAATTCGAATTGATTCTGATTTTAATTGTTATGGAATAATTTTGGTTGATGAGAGTATGCTGAACCCGTTTATATACAACGTTGTACCTCTGCTCTGCATCATTTACTTTCAACTTTAATTAACGCTCAGAAACTGCTGTCATCGATTCCCGTCAACAAACCAGACAAAATTATACTGCGATTGATTTATTGATGTTGCGTTAATTAAACGCAATTACGTAATCATCGTTGCTAACCGGGAGAGCGGGGTGCAAGGTTTGTTGCAGAGGTCCCCAGAAGTTGTCCCAAAGTGCGACGCAACTATCGATTTTCAGGGGGGTGGGTTGCTTTTTCGTGTTATGACCTAATTCCGTCGAGCCCCGGGAATTCGATGGAATGTAGCAGTTATGTACACCAATTTTAAGTCGATTTACATTTTCTTGTTAGTTTCTTTCAATAGCGTTATAAGAACAATTGATTTAATTATTCTATTCATTTAATAAGAGGAATTCTCAAAAATCCCATTTTCCATCTTCGATTCAACGAAACATGAATGAATCCCCATTAAATATGCATATACTAGTGATATAATCCAAGGTTTAACCGCGAATTCCAAGCTGTGGGAGTTGTCAAGTAGTTTTACCGAAAAAATGAATGGCAGCGATAATATACAAGAGGGTTACGTCCTCGGCGATGAACGATCCCATGGGAAGCTTTAACGAAAGGTGTACATTGCAAAATTCAGTTTTTTTCTTTCTTTTCGACTTCAATTATTTCACATGTTACGTAATCATGTTTCTGTGCTCTAAAGGTATTTATTAATGTTGTGTCGGTAATTAAAGTAGGTCACTAATTAGCGGATAACTAATGCGAACAATTAGAATAATTTCTGCTAACATTTCTTGTTGTATATGGTTGGAAGAGGCACTAGATTAATTTCAGCTATTGAATATCGATCAATCCCAGTTGCGATGCCCTTTATTAATAAAGTGGGTCAAGAGATCAACTTAATGCAACAATAGTATTTGTGCCGCTGTTTGTTGTGTAGATGCGTTCTATCTCTAATAGTATCATTAACAAACCGTACTTATGATCTATCATCACATACAACATAAATATTGATTACAGTTTTGTTACTATTTTCACGAACTACGTAATAAGAGAAAAATTATTAATGCGCATTAAATTTATCGATTTGTAATATTAAATGTATGTGCTTTTATTCTTCGTTTTTTCCGCATATTTACCAGATTTTAACTGATTCATTACTGAATGACCTATATTTCGCACATCGATTAATTACATTTAGAGAATTTCATTTCAAATGGAAATTATTTTAGTTATTGCAATATTTCTATGTTATCTATTTATTCATTAAAAAATAACTTGGTTGATATTAGTTTGAATATATCAGTTTATAAATTAGGTCAGATTCTAGAATTAATCTAAACTTTTCTTTTTAGTCATTCTGAAACCTTTTATTAAAATAAATTTTAGCTATAAACAAATAGAAATTATACTATAACCTAGGTAAATAACAATTAAGTATAGGATCATTAGTTGACCTTAATTAGTTAATTGCCGAACGAAGGTGGATCGACATGCATCCATTATCAATTTAAAAGGAGGTCACAAAGATAAACTGATAATGAAGTTTCATTACAATATTAACCGGCAATTCAATCTGGTATATGTAATCCGTAATAGATAAAAGCTAAAATCCCCTAAACAAGATTTGTTTAAAGACATTTATATTGTTTGCATAGAAAATACATCTGTCGATAATCCTCACTGAAAGCGAGAAATTCCGGTCTGCACAGCCGGCGATTATTTGCATTACGTAAAGTATTTGTTATTTTTCGTGAGATGAGAAAAATGACACCTCGCTGTGTGTGTGGGGTCAATGTGTTACCATCAACAACGTCTACACGATTTATAAATATTTAAACCGTTTTCCGATGTGCGAAAGAGCCAGGCAAGAAAATATGGAAGAGCACGTTCCGAATGTACGGTTACATCGCGATTTTGTAAATATATTATTTATTCTCTAATTGAATCCGAGCATATTTTTAGGTTGTCCGGTATTTGTGTACAGTTAGTTCGCACTTTCTAGCTAACTTAATGGTGTCTGCGCGACGTTTGGGGAATAATGGAACTGGGGGGATTAAGATATTTCCTTCACTTCGAGCGGTTTTCTTGTAATTATAGAACGGAAATAATATTGGCTATTTATACGTTTGGAATAGTAGTAGTTACATGCACATGCGAAAATAGATTCAGTCCAAAAGAGCCAGGTAACCTAGAAATGTACGTTCACGCGACGGACACACAATCGCTGTTTTCTCGTTTTTGTATCAGGCCACATGATTAGTGGAGTCATCTGAAACGATTGGCACGTGGTTCACGGTGTCACGGGACACATACCTGGTGTTTTAGTTCAACATTTATTTACATCCATCTATCAACAAATAAATATTTTTCTACAACTTTTAAAATTGAAACACAATTTTCATCATCTTTTTTTTTATAACAATTTGCATGAATTACGCGAGAAATGGCAATTTTCTGCACTTTAGAAATTGCAATTAATTCAATTTTTTGGCAGGCTTCGCGCTGACACGAATGTGTAGTAACCATTTCGCTCGGAATTCCTGGACGGTGTTCTATAGGAAATTCCAAATCCCGCATTTAGAATCAATGAAAGTTGTTCGGAGAGTTGATCTTTGGGTTTTTTTTTGCCGATCACCCGCCGCCTAAATTTATTGCGCTCTGTTTTGAAAGAAAACATTCAGTGTGTATAATATGGTTTCGGCTTCCTGCAGATTGATTCATTGAGTTTTTGATCTTCGGTTATGTTTTTATGCCTGGCTCGAGTACTTTTGATCGATTCGCTGGAAATTCACACGTCGTGTATATATATATATTTTTTTAATACTCGATGTTGCACCTTGAACGTGGTTTTGGAACCACTTCAGCGTTATCCGCGTGCATTTTTAATGGAATAAATGTATTTCGTAGATAACGGAAATTTTGTTTTCGGTTTTATATATCGATCAATGTAGAACTTTCAATATTTCGTTGTAAATGTAAACAAGTTATTTATCAATGATAATTTAACCTGAAGATTAGACATGTGTAAAATAATCATAATTGGGTTATACCTTCTCCCAGTTAAGCTTACTTCATTAAATTATGTGAAGATCATACTTTAGTAACTAAAGTCTATTAAATTTGTAAACCGGAAATTTAAACCCGAAACTTCATCCTGAGTTTTAGAAGTATAATCCGGCTAGCGCAACTGATTGTGTTCTTGTTGGATGGTTTTGTTAAATATTGTGTTATACTAAGTCCTAGGTCATTAACCGAGTATCTTGGATTTTTACATTCTAATTTATTAGTCATACTAATTTTCTTCCTAATATTAGAACAATTGAAAAGATGAATATAATGAT